GCCGAGACAAATTGATATCATGTCATATACTAATGATGTAATAAAAATACACCGAATTAGAGATGTAAAATATTGGTTGAAATATTGAGAGTCAACCACCGACTAACTGATCAATTGCTTTGTCACCAATAGCTACAGGATTATGAGTTATCGATCATGAGAAATACCCTTATGTATTTATATGATGATTTTCTAGACTAGAAAAAATTTTTCTATAATCGAAAGAAAATTATCTGCTGTTTACTTTAGACTTATGTCGAATTAGCTCTTAGTCTTGGTACATCATGGATTGAACAAAATTTATCATTATTTATAAATCATGTTCTTGAATTAGCTGGAAATCCTCGTTCATCAACATCGCATGTTGATTCAGTTTATTCACGTAAATGTATTACATTTATTCTTCGTTCAGTTATTGGTTCACGTCTTGGTGAAAAAGCACAATTTGCTGCAGCTAAAGAACTTTCAGCAATTATAACACGTTATACAACATTACAATTAATACTAAATAATATTAATTCATCACCAACATCAACAAATGAGTTAAATATATCAACAGGTTCATCGTCACTTAATTCAAATACTAATTCAATGATACAATCCTATGCATCATCATCAACAAATACATTTGAATCATCATCATCAAATATTGAATATACTCAACATATACTTATTTGTGCTTTATATGAACTTAGTTTATTAGGACAAAGAGTTGGAACATCAATATCTTTATTATTACAAGATAGTTGTCAAGGATTAATTGATACACTTTTTTTAGCTATTCTTAATCCATCACATTCAGTAAGATTATCAGCAGCATGGTGTCTTCGTTCAATTACAACAGCATTACCATCACTTATGATACCAATGATTGATCGATGTTCGGAAAAAATAAAAACTTTAGCAAAACAATCAACTTCATATAATACAGATGCTATGTCCGGATTTGCACTTACTTTACAAGCTTTACTTGGAGCTGTTTATCGATGTCCATTAGGTTAGCTTTATTTCAATCTATATTGTTTGTCAGTGTAATTGATACCAGTATTTTATCTTAACAAATATTTGAGAAGCTTGTCATATTTTTGACTATTTAGGTATTCCTTCACAACGTGCAAAAACTATATTTGAGTTTGCTGATGATTTACTTCGTACTGCAACAGCTTCAACAGCTGGTCAACAACAATCTTTAATAGCACGTGTTGTACTTCAACGTACTCATACAGTATGGCATTTACTTGCTGCATGCTGTGCACTTAGACAACAAGTAATAAAAAAAATTGTTCCACATTTAGTTCTTCTATGGCGTAATGTATTTTCACGATCACAAGCTGATTTTGAACAAGAAAAACAACGTGAAGATTCATTTACATGGACACTATCATTTAATCAATGTTCAGGTGCACTTTGTTCAATGATATCATTTTTAAATAATTGTTCAATAGATGTTGATCATTTAATAACTGATGATTCACTTAAACGTATGTTAAATCCAATTTGAAAATGCAATTCTTGTACTTATTCATATACCAAATTTAATTAAACAATTTGGTCCACAATTAAAAGTACCAACAACAATGTTTTGTTTACGTTTATATGAACTTCTTTTACTTATACCAATTAAATTTTATGAACATCTTTATCAATTGTTAACAATAATTGATGCTTAATTACAGCGTTTGGATCACTTTTTATATATTCTTTTGCATTTTTTTTTAAATATTCGAAAATATTTTCACTTCCACAACTCACTCATCACAATTCAACACTGAAAATAAAATTTAACTTGTTCTCTGATTTTTCTTGAATATTTTAATTCATTCGGCACGATTCGATTTTATTATTCGAGCAGTGCTATTTCAAACTGAAATAATATAACATTCAAACTTTCGTGTTGTTATCTGAACATATCATCAGGAATGACAATATGAAAGATTACATTTAGTTTATACATGAGAAGACTATAATGATAAAGCAGAGAGTAATTGAAGGAAGAATAAAAGTTAATTATTTATGTTTACAACTTTTAATTGAATAACAATATCAGTTGATGTGGGTGTTTACGCTTGAATAAGAATCTGGATTAGTTCTTTATGTTTACGATACACCACGAATATGAATTTTTTATTTATGTTCACCATTTATAATCGAATAAGAATATGACTAGTTGATTATTTATATTTACAGTACATGAGAAGACAATCACGATAGAGAAAGGAACAATTAAAGAAAGAGCAAGAATATGAGTTAGTTATTTCTGTTTACAATTAACAATTGAAATTCAATCATGTTAACATTTAAATGATGAATACATACTTATTTAAGCTATGAAGAGTTGGTAAGGCTGTGTTAATTCCTTTTTTTGCCACTATAGATGTAGCTATATTAGTTGTTAACCAAAGACACAAAATACATGTTGCGTGCCGTTTATAACATTACCGAATGTTCTATTTGTGAACATGCCTTCTTCTATTATATATTTTCTCCAGTCAGCTTCAGTAAATGAAAGAATTCAATGCTAATAGCATTCAAAAAAAAGGAAAAGATTCCAAACAGAAAAAAAGTGATGGGAGTAAATTTTTCCATGCTAAAATCTATATAAAATTTTACCTTCATATTGCTGGGAAGGTATGGAATAATGGGGGTAAAATTTTATATAGAGTTTAGCATCGAAAAATTTATCCCCATTACTTCCTTTCTGTTCAGAATTTCTTGTTTTTTTTGAATGCTATGAGCACTAGAATCCTGTATTAATTCAACAT